ATTTTAGCAATAGTGTGTGTATAGAAATAACACTATTTAAATTATGTCTTTTAATACAAAAGGCAAATGACTTGAGAGGCGAGGAACAAATTTGAGTAGGCCAAGATAAAAACTGGTAAAAACTACCCAGGCCTATACCTGGCGCCGCGGCTGGCTTAGAAGGCCTGGGATGCCCACAGCGTCATCAGTCTACGCGCCTCTGTGTGGATCACACATCTCTCTTCGGGCTGGAGCTATGGCTGGAGCATTTTGAGGGTTTTTTAAGCAGGAGTCAGGAAGGTGGCGATCTTACGGGTGTTTGTGATTTTTTGGTTTAACAGCCTCCCTGTTAAACTTAATTATATATAGGGTTCAGGAGCTTTATGACCCGACCTACCCGCACCCGACATGACTCATATTTTTGAGGCATCCAACCCGCCCGAAACTGCGGGTTGACCGCGGCTTTCGGGCTGACCCGCGCATCACTACCCCTTAGGTAACACGTTGCCATAGATACACAGGGCCGATGGAAACGCTCTCAAAACGAGTCGAGTCGTGCCGAGTCGAGTTGAGGCAAGTAGAGTCGGGCCTGTGGAAACAGCCAGTGATACGCAGGAACGCATGCACAACAAATATACTATATCATACAAGGCGGCCCCGACTCCACCGGGCGCGCAAAACGGACGACGTATCCGTCCAAACGCGTCCGTTTCATCTCCGTTTACTTTATCTCCATGAGGGTGAATGGAAGTGGCTCCACGGCCTGCAACATGCGTCATTCCGTCAACGGAGGGTGCAACGGACGCGGACGGACAAAATCGAAACAATTTTACCCGTCCGTTGACGCGTGTCGGGACCGTTTTCCATTGAAAATACAATGGAATAATATATTTACCACATTATTTTACATGTATTGATATATGCTGTAGTCCTTGGTTATAACTGTTTGTTAATGACAATGAAACAAAATGTGTGTCATTTTGTTTCATGTATTAAACTGAAATAATTGTTTCCTGATCGTAAATCTACCATTTACTTTTCGCGCAATGTTAATACGCTAAACTTTACATACACCTCGCTCTTTTAGTTCTTGCTCTGTCCCTGTCTACCTCCGAGGCGCTCTCTCCTCACCGCCGCTCCACACACACACACACTGCACTTTTGCACGCCCACGCACACATGCACGCCAATAATACATTACTCCTCCATCAGCCAAACATTCATTTATTCACACAGTATCCAAACGTGTCTACTACAAAAACAAAGCTCAGGGCTGATAAACGCACAGCCAGAGCTGCTGCTGCTGGAGCCGGTGTGGCCACTACTCCGTTTTACAGACGTCTGACGGGCAGCAGCTAACGGGCGTAAACGGAGGCGCGCCCGGTGGAGTTTGGTCTGACTTTCATGCCGCACGTGCCACACACACACTGGCACGCACACACGCCTTTCCACACTCGCGCACCCTATTTCCCCGTTCCATTCATAAGTAACATCCACACGCATTATCCATTCTCTCGTCCTTCTCTCCCCTCCCCGGGTCAGAAATACATTCAAGCATACATTTACACACACATTTACACCGGTCTGTCACGCTCCTCTGGGTATGTGCGCGAGGGTCGGACCAGAAAACAATTTTCTGGTGGGTTAAATGGGAATTATGCCCATGTGTTGTGCGCAATTAAATGTACATGTTTTGAGAATATAATGATGTAATGTTTGATTGTAGAGTATATTTATCTGTGTTGTACCAATTAGGGTATGGGCCCATATTTCTTTGCCTGTTAAATGATTTGCTCAGTGGGAGGGGCCAGGAGCCGTGTTTGGCACAGTCTGCAGCTGGATACAGAGGAGGTGACTTGAAGCTTAAAGGTGACCTATGTGTCCCTGTGAACTTGTTGTTTTTGTGTGTGTGCTAATTTAACTGTAAATACGTTCTGCACTGCCTTCACCATTTTTTGCACTCTGGGAGTATAGAAAATAAACCTACCTAAGCACTGGAGTTTTATTTTTAAGCAACCCACGACAGCCAGAGGGGCGCTTGCTGCTGTTTGCTGTACGTGCTTGGACAGGATTCCAAATCCTTTGTGGCAGTGGCGTTCTGACTCCAGAGCCACTCCGGCTGCTTTGTAATAACAGCCGCTCCTTGACAACAACGCGGCAAGCACGTGCTTTCCATTCGTTTACATGTGGTTTAGTTAGCACACCTATGCTAACAACGCTAGCGTATGGGCGTCCAGTTATTTGAGAAGAGAATAGTGTGGTGTGTGACAAAAATGAGGCCTAAAATCTAAAGTTTATTAAAGTGATTCTGACCCTTTAAAGACCCCAAGACCTTGGAGAAAAATTCCACAAATCGTACCCCACATTCAGACTGCCCCACTCACTCACATACTATTTTTTCAGACCTGTAGCTCTTAAGAAATTTGAATGAGAGCCAAAACAACAGTGACAATTGCTACATTTTCGGCCTTTTCTCTGGGAGCGGGGGATGGGCACAGGGATTCGGAGCCTTTTTTGACCCCAAGACCTTGGAGCAATCGTCCACAAATCACACCCCACATTCAGACTGCCCCACTCACTCACATACTCCATTTTCAGACCTGTAGCTCTTATGAAATTTGAACGAGAGCCAAAAATACAGTCTTTTCACCACAAAGGCTTCAGTTGCTTTTTCTCAACTGTGGTTTGACCTTTGATCCGAGGGTCACCATATTCGGTTTAGGCAATGTGCAGGGGGCCCTCTAACATTATCCAGCGTCGGATTTGTTCCACGACCCTCCTGGAGCTTAATGAGCAGTTCAAAAACCAGCCTTGCTAAAGGGGGTAGTAGGTTGCAAGCCTCAGACCATGTTGACTTGCCAAGCCAAACAAGGTCAATTTTGGTTCTACTGGGGGTACACTCTTGAATTTAAAATATGTGTTAGAGGGCCATGAGACGAGTCCAACGGTGTAGGTTAGACCTCCAGGGGGCGCACGGTTCTCGATGGGCGGGCCTTAAAGCGGGGAAGATTCTTACGATAATTAAGCTCATTAAAGGGTCAAATTTAGTCAAAATGTCTCAAAACTCAGCACACGCCCCTCTAAATACAGACTGAACCAGAATCCAACGTTTCAAAGTGCTCGGGCACTCGCTTAGCTACTTAGCTTCCTATTGGTCAACATGAGTGCGCGCCCAGATATTTGAGAAGAGAATAGTGTGGTGTGTGACAAAAAAGAGGCCTAAAATCTAAAGTTTATTAAAGGGATTCTGACCCTTTAAAGACCCCAAGACCTTGGAGAAAAATTCCACAAATCGTACCCCACATTCAGACTGCCCCACTCACTCACATACTATTTTTTCAGACCTGTAGCTCTTAAGAAATTTGAATGAGAGCCAAAACAACAGTGACAATTGCTACATTTTTGGCCTTTTCTCTGGGAGCGGGGGATGGGCACAGGGATTCTGAGCCTTTTTTGACCCCAAGACCTTGGAGCAATCGTCCACAAATCACACCCCACATTCAGACTGCCCCACTCACTCACATACTCCATTTTCAGACCTGTAGCTCTTATGAAATTTGAACGAGAGCCAAAAATACAGTCTTTTCACCACAAAGGCTTCAGTTGCTTTTTCTCAACTGTGGTTTGACCTTTGATCCGAGGGTCACCATATTCGGTTTAGGCAATGTGCAGGGGGACCTCTAACATTATCCAGCGTCGGATTTGTTCCACGACCCTCCTGGAGCTTAATGAGCAGTTCAAAAACCAGCCTTGCTAAAGGGGGTAGTAGGTTGCAAGCCTCAGACCATGTTGACTTGCCAAGCCAAACAAGGTCAATTTTGGTTCTACTGGGGGTACACTCTTGAATTTAAAATATGTGTTAGAGGGCCATGAGACGAGTCCAACGGTGTAGGTTAGACCTCCAGGGGGCGCACGGTTCTCGATGGGCGGGCCTTAAAGCGGAGAAGATTCTTACAATAATTAAGCTCATTCAAGGATCAAATTTATTCGAAATGTCCCAAAACTCAGCACACACCCCTCTAAATACAGACTGAACCAGAATCCAACGTTTCAACCTGCTCGGGCACTCGCTTAGCTACTTAGCTTCCTATTGGCCAAAATGAGTGGGCGCCCAGATATTTGAGAAGAGAATAGTGTGCATTTAACACCATCCAACCTCTCTTACTAAAGGAGAAACTGGAAGAAGAGTTGATCCCATCTTTTCCAACTGGATATATAGTTACCTCACTGTGTGTCACAGTATGTCAGGTTAGGGAAGAGCGTGTCTGGGACTTTTGTGAGCCATAAGGGAGCACCACAGGGTACCATTCTGGCTCCCTTCCTCTTCACTGATTACACTGCAGAATTTGCACACAACTTTGCTACATGTCATGTACAAAAATAGGACTATAGGCAGGGGTGCACATAAGTGGTACGCATGCGTGACTATCACTTGAGTTAGTAAGCGCTTTTGCGTACTTCACATTGACCAGTCCTTCTCAAATAGTGTGGCGCTCCTCCCTGGGTGGTCATAGTGCAATAACAACCTTCGTTCTGACCCCGGGAGAAACTGTGGCGCTTCGACAGCTCAGCAAGTGTGCGTGGTCATGTACCGAGCGCGGACCATAGACGCGCGTGGTCATGTACCGAGCGCGGACCATAGACGCGCGTGGTCAGGTACCCAGCGCGGACCATAGACGCACGTGGTCATGTACCGAGCGCGGACCATAGACGCGCGTGGTCATGTACCCAGCGCGGACCATAGACGCACGTGGTCATGTACCGAGCGCGGACCATAGACGCGCGTGGACATGTACCGAGCGGGGGCCGGTTTGGAACCAGAGTCACGGACCGGTTTGGAACATGAGCAAGGGGCCAGAGGGGGTCCAGTTTGGGGACCACAGGATATCGTCTCTGCTGTTTGCGGATGATGTTGTCCTGTTGGCTCCATCAGACCAGCACCTTCAGCTCTGGGACGATTTGCAGAAGAGTGTGATTTGGCTGAGACTGTGTCTCAGCTGGAGGAACTGTCTCTCAGCTGGATGAACTGTGTCTCTCAGCTGGATGGACTGTGTCTCAGCTGGAGGAACTGTCTCTCAGCTGGATGGACTGTGTCTCTCAGCTGGATGGACTGTGTCTCAGCTGGATGGACTGTGTCTCAGCTGGATGGACTGTGTCTCAGCTGGAGGAACTGTCTCTCAGCTGGAGGAACTGTCTCTCAGCTGGATGGACTGTGTCTCTCAGCTGGATGGACTGTGTCTCAGCTGGAGGAACTGTCTCTCAGCTGGATGGACTGTGTCTCTCAGCTGGATGGACTGTGTCTCAGCTGGATGGACTGTGTCTCAGCTGGATGGACTGTGTCTCAGCTGGAGGAACTGTCTCTCAGCTGGATGGACTGTGTCTCTCAGCTGGATGGACTGTGTCTCCTCTGGATGGACTGTGTCTCAGCTGGAGGAACTGTCTCTCAGCTGGATGGACTGTGTCTCTCAGCTGGATGGACTGTGTCTCAGCTGGATGGACTGTCTCTCAGCTGGATGGACTGTGTCTCTCACTAACACTCAGAAACTTCATATGATCCATGTTTTGTGTTGAAGAGGAGGAGGCTCATTTGATTGCTAGACTGAAATCTGTGGTGATTCGTCTGCAGTTTTGAGTCAGGGGCGGGTAATTAGGGCTGTGTCAATTATCAGATATATATCAATATTTTAAAATTGAATACATTATAGCATTATATAGAATATATAAATATATATATTTTTTTATTTATATATATATATATTAATTGTCCACTCACCTGGCCCTCCGCGGACGGTTATCCCTCTCTAAGCTCGGGTCCTCTCCCAGAGGCCTGGGAGCTTGAGGGTTCTGCGCAGTATCTTTGCTGTTCCTAGCACTGCACATTTCTGGACCGAGATGTCCGAGGTTGTTCCGGGGATCCGCTGTAACCTCTTCTAGCTTTGGGGTCACTGCCCCGAGTGCACCGATCACCACGGGTAATACTGTCACCTTTACCCTCCAGGCCCTCTCCAGCTCCTATATATATATATAATTTTCCGATTTTGTCTCTTTTCCATTATTTCGATTTTTTGATGTTACAAACAGAAGCTTGAGATGATTTTTTTCATCAAATGTAATGCCAGCCAAAAGCCTTTTTTACTGTGTTGTATTTTTGTTTGATTGTATGACTATATTTTTGACTGTGCGCATGTGTCTCCTGCAGCCCTGAACATACGTTCTAAGTTTATCAGTTCAGGTCTCAGTTCAGGTCTCAGTTCAGGTCTCAGTTCAGGTCTCAGCTCAGGTCTCAGTCCAGGTCTCAGTCCAGGTCTCAGTCCAGGTCTCAGTCCAGGTCTCAGTTCAGGTCTCAGTCCAGGTCTCAGTCCAGGTCTCAGTCCAGGTCTCAGTCCAGGTCTCAGTCCAGGTCTCAGTTCAGGTCTCAGTCCAGGTCTCAGTTCAGGTCTCAGTCCAGGTCTCAGTTCAGGTCTCAGTCCAGGTCTCAGTTCAGGTCTCAGTCCAGGTCTCAGTCCAGGTCTCAGTTCAGGTCTCAGTTCAGGTCTCAGTTCAGGTCTCAGTCCAGGCCTTGGATTCTGCAGCTGCAGATTGAAACATTGTTTCTCTTTGATGGCCCACTCTGGATCAGCCAATCAGAGTAGCCTACGGTCCCGCCCCCTGTGCACTTAGTATCACAGCCTAAAACTAAACATGTTTAAATGTGTTGTTTTAACACAAACAGTACAGGAAAGGGCTTTAACACGAGTTCACCAGGAACAAGTTTCATTTGAAAACTTTGAAATGTTGTAATTGTAAAATTAATAAGTTAAAAACTATATTTTTTGAGGGAGAAAGAAACAGCTTGCAGGTGGATTTAACCAATCACAACACTGTGTATCTTAACCAATGAGAGCTGAAGCCAATAATTCCCTTTGGCTGACGTGTCCACAATTTGATACAGAAATCAGACAAAAAGATTCTCAAAGGTTAACATCTGCATTTAATTATCTTTACAATCAGATACAAGATATTCAACAAAAGAGTGCTCCTAAAACTAATATGTCCCTCTCTGGCCCTCGTCTGATCCTTCTGTTTCTCCCCAAGCCAGAGCATATATAAAGAACAGGAAGGAGGGGAGTGTCCTATCAGCCAGCTTCCGGTATAGGGTCCAGCCTTTTCCTCCGTCTGCCAGACTCCTGATGGAGTGAGGTTGAAAAGTGCAGAAGTCAGCAGGCCAAGACTAGGGAGGTGAAATCCAAACAGGAGAATCTGTTGTCCAGTTGCTGGCACAAGAAGACACCTAAAATAAAATAAGAAGGACTGGCCTCCCACTTAGAGGTTAGCTAGGTCATAAAACACATGGTTTTAGAATGTCACGTATTTATAAATACAACAGTTTCCCTCTTTTGACCTGATTAAAAATTAGGTCACAATCCACATCGTCGTTTATCATCAATCCTTGTGCTTAGTTCCGGCTCGATATCTGTGAAGAGTTAATACAGAGAAAACAAACAACACACAACCACATTCGAAACATTCCTTCACTAAACTCTTTGATGACCACTGCTGTCATTCTGATTCTTCTTCAACCTCGTCTGTAATGTATGCACTAAAACTATTCACTATAGTTTAAACTATTCTAATCTATTTACAAATAGGTTTGCTTATTTTGCTTTTATTGAGCCCTATTCTTAAACATATGTTTTTATCTAATAAATCTATCTATACTGGTGGTTTGCTTTCATTATCAGTGGCTCTGTGCCATTTCGTGGGGCTTTGCTCATTTTTCCAAATACATTTTGTTGAACCAGGAAGTGCTGTCACTTCCTTCTCTCAAACCGTTTGGGATAAATGTACATCGTTAATCAAATTGGTATTATCCGTACAGGAGCTAATCTATTTTAGCAGGTTTCTCTGGGGTTAGTCCCTATACAACGGTATTTTGATTCTCTAATCTGTTGCTGACAAATCGACAGCTCTTAAAATTCTCAAAACTACCTAAAGATCTACTTTTGTGCTATACCCAAATTCACCAAAATGCTTTTAAATGTTTTTGAATCTCTGTTGGTTCTAATCTATCTCATTAATCTAAGCTACATTAATCTAGGCTACACTCATGAACTTTATCTACTTTTGAAGTAACTACTTTTGGACATAATATGAAGGAAATGGTCTTTTTACCGTTTGATATTAACCCTGTCTAAAAATAATCTCTATTTTTTGAAAGCATCTATCTATTTTACACTCTATTGTGACTCCAAATCTTGGTTGTAGTTTGAGCCAAAGCATATTCCCAATTTTTGAGTTCTGATTGTAACAATTGCATTGGCAATAGATGATTTTTCATTGGCTAGTTCTTGTTCTGCAAATCACTATTCTATGTATTGTATTTCAGACAATTCCAAAAACAACACAGTCGTTCTCCAATATTAAAGACATACATCTAAATCAAGTTGCCTGAAAGGGATTTTAACTATTTTAAAACGTTCTCTACGATTATAAGGCTATGCATTTAATTATTTAATAAACAAAAGCACATTCATGGCTTCTGTCCGCTGCTTATAACTGTTTAAAGAGTTGTCCCAAACTTAATATGTGTAAATACATCAGCTGTTTGTAATAAACAATAACATTTAACCTGTTCTCCAATGGAGCAGCTCAGAGGCTGCGTCAAGAGCAATGTTATATTTGAGCTATTTTTAGATTTAAAATTGTGTTAAAGCCTGTCGTTCTGTGTCTGCATTTTAATACTACTCTCTATAAACACATCTGCACTAGTTCCTACAGATGTGGAAAACAGAAACATCTAAAATCTGACTCCATTTGATTCCTTTTTACTTTAGTTATTAGAACAATTTGACCTTATTGATACTTATTTCCACAATAGAACTATTTTGATTATTCACTAGTCTAACTATTATTACTATTGTTTATTCTGACACCTCTTCTTAGCGACTTTTCAACCTATAGCTCCTCGAATCCAATGACATTATAGCTCGAGACTATTTCATTCTATTCTATTATTGTATGATCTATTATCTTAAAGAGTAGATCTGTTTGATGTTATAAGCGCTATTATTTCTCTTTTTGAATTTGCTCAACACTAAATTTAGAATGATCCCCTATGGGACAAATATAGAATTTTATTTCATTTTGACAACTCCGAAAATTACTTAATAATTTTCCCATTTTGCTTTTTTAGGCTGCCCTTTCTATTATTTATTTGTTCTTGTAAATATATGTTTTACACTTCTTTCTAATGATTTAGAAGGTTAAGGACCATGACCACCTATGACAATAACATTATATACTCCCTCTGTTGGTCATGGTCCAAAGTATAAAACATGCATCTGTATATGTGTGTAGATTACTGTTCCCATCATTCTCCAGTTGTTCCTCCCGGATCGTCCTCAATTCATATTGTGGGCTTTGGTGCCAAAGCAGAGGCTCATTTCCTTATGATCCATACTACTGTCATCCCTGAAGCAGGGGTAGTTTATCTCTCATCTGAAAAACAAACATTAGAACACAAGAAATGCCCACTTCCCTCTCTTCGCATTGTGCAGCCTGTCAATCAATCCAATTGGGCAAAACATAACTGCATTGACAGACGGTGTGTGACATCAGGGCAGAGGCTGTAGCCAAATACAGACTTAACAATATGTATGTTTCTAATTTTATACTCCCCTAAATGTGAATTACAAACCAAAGTTGTCCTTCAACCAACGACAGCTCACTGCGGTTGGACCGAATCACTGTCAGGACAAACAGCAGAGGGAGGGACTCCCAGTACCTTCAGCAAGGTATTTCATCTCAGAGTACTTTCCGCAGAGTACTTTCTCAGAGTACTCATCCCAGAGTACTCTCACTTTTACACCTGTTCAATAAAGCTTGTTATCTTTGAATCTCTAGTACTTACACCGTATGCTGTTGACAAAAAATAATTATTCCATGATCACATTAAAACATTACAGAAAACTTTTGTTATTCCATTCTCCGTTCAGCACTCCTCGTTCACTCCACACTCACATCACACTCGCATCACACACGCATCACTCACACAGGCCGACTCCCCAGTTAGTATTTTGGTCCAGAGTTTGTTAAGGTCAACGTAGTGTACTTGACATGACGCACAAACATATAACATACACAAACATACACAAACATATAACACACACAAACATATAGACAACACAGAAGGCCTGTAATTTTAACTTTGTTATATTTTTCCATGTCCAATTACAATTGTCTCATGAGCTATTTCTATTGTTGCAACTTTCAGAGCCTGCAAAACATGCAGAGCTTTAAGAGATTTTTCTTAAAAGGATCCATTTCAAACTTTAGTGTTTACCACGTGGTCTGTACTCGGGCTTGTCACAGACTGTGTCCCCTATATTTTTAATGAGCTCTTGTTACTTAAAACTCATGCACGTGCAATAAATGTTTTTCCCTTTTTTTTTTTTTTTTTTTTAAAGCCAGTTCGGATTCCTTAAAAATGTAAATTAGTTTCAAACTTTAATACTTCACCTTTGTTTCACGTTCATGTGGAGAAAAGACCATTGTT